AAGCAGATAAACATCACATTTTCATTTTTGGGTGAACTATCCCTTTAAGCATATTTGTGTGTGCTAAAGTGGAACTATTGCAAGTATACTTCAGATACACTCTAAATATCTCGTGTTTAAAGACCGATATTATTCAAAGATCATAGTCCTCATCAATAGTGACAATTCAAAACACATTTTAGGCTTAATATTAAGAAATGTGCACTGTACACAAGTAGTACTGCAAATAAAGTTGAATTATAATTTTTATATTCGTAAGTCTCGAGTGATATGCCAGTAAATATGTTAATAGATTTGAACTATACTTGGTAAGAAATAAATGTATTTTAAATACAGGTATATCACTTTTTTACTAGGGTAGTCAGAAACTGTAAGACACTGTAGACACACAGTCAAGGGCGACTTCAAAAAAAAAGATAATTTTGACAGTAAAACACTGTTAAAAACGTTACATTAAAAACCTGTTAACTGGTTAATGGTTAATTTCCCTTATTTATATGATGAAAAATTGTAAGCAATAGGACATTTCAGGAAATTTTACAGTAAATACTGTTAAATCTACAGTTTTGGAAGTGAAAAAGTAATTTTATAAGGTACAGTGTATATTATGAAAAGCACTATACAAATAAATGTGAATTGAATTGAACTGAACAGTGAAAACCTGTAATTTGACATTCCCACAATTCCCTGTGATACCTCACATTTTATGGTCTTTCACTGAAATACCTGTAAAAAAAAAAGTGAACAGACAAGGAATAACTATTGGTAAAAAATATTATGTTTTCAAAGGAAAATTTCACTTGCATAATTGTATTAAATGTGTTTTTGAATTGAAAGACATAAAGTATAAAAAAATAACTATCAGTTATGTACATTTGGGTTTTATATTACATCTTGTGGTGTAATATAAAGTCATATTTATTGCATTATTTTGTTGTGCGTATGACACCGACCACCTTCCATATATTAGTATTTACTTCAGCTTGTGGAAAAGTTATTTGTGATGAACTTTGATTCATCATGGGACTTTCTCTTTATGTTTTATGGTGATTGTCTGTATAATATAAAGGTAAATAACACATTTTAGTAACTTGGTATATTAGCATTATTTCAGTTTTTACTGTAAATTTAATTTCAATCTGTAAAACTAGGTGGTTGCTTGGCTTGACAGAAGACAGGGATTTCTGCACACTTGAGAAGAGAGCAGCAGCAGAAGAGAAAGCGAGAAAGAAAAGGAGATCTTTGTGCGCTGAAACAAGGCTTTTGGCAGCAGGCTTGTGAATGCCAGCTGTGGCTCTGAGAGGGATTAGGAGCTTCATCAGACTCCAGGATCAGGTGGGTCTTGTTTATCCCTTCAGCTTCTCGAGGAGTGGGAGAAGAGCGGAGGAAATCACAGATGCTACACTCATCAATACATTTCAAGAGGTCTTCTGCACAGAGCTGATCTAAAGAGCTGAGCTCCAGCGGACCCACAACATCACCACAAAATCTGCTCTCAGATAATCAATAGCACCTGCATGTAAAAGCGTAATCTAGCAGATACTAACATTTTAAACGGATAGTTCCTGTTCTGGATGTTGATTGGGTAATACAGCATTAGTTGTGCTATTGGAGCTCATGGAGCTGGTGTAGAAAAATCCACAAATGGAGCTGATGGTCTTTAATTTGAAAAAGCATTGAATCATTTTTCCATTCATTTAATTGATTGTTTTTCCACGTTTCTTGTCCTTTTTGACATTAGTACTGTATATCCCTCTTTAAAAGGTTTCCGTGATTCAAATGCCTGGCTATTTTCTCTCAGATATCAGTATATTAGATGAGACCATTTTAGTACACATCGTTTTTACTTATGCCTTATTTCTAACGCAATGTTCATTTAATCTGGAAAACAGCTGTGGCACATTATCAGAGCTGTTGATGGGCTGGAACGATCTCATACGAGAAAAGAGAGTGGTCTCGGACTGCCAGGAGCAGCTGTTTGGGGTTTGATCCTGTCGATGTGCAACAACCTATAACCTGCACTGATTCAGATTCGGAGTTTCTTGTAAAAGTGAAGGGATGGTTCTGTTACTATTCAGGTTAATGAAGGTAACAGCATAATTTCAGCATGAGTCTGGAGAACAAAACACTAATGAGCTGCTGGAGGAGAGAACTTTGAGAAACCATGTTCTTTAGAATAGAATAGAATAGAATAGAATAGAATTGGACATCTTTATTGTCACATGATGAAAGTACTGGATGTTGTTGTAAGTAATTACAACAAAGGCTTTTTGCAGTTTTGGTTCAGATTAGTACAGTCATATTGATACAAATGCCACGAAATCTTAAAAGACTTTCATATTTACATTTTTTTATTTTTATTTAATTAATACGTTTATTTAGTAAGGAGACATTGAATTGATCAAAAGTGACAGAAAAGACATTTATTATGTTACAAGAGATTTCTATTTCAAATAAATGCTGTTCTTTTGGATTTTCAATTCATCAAGGAATCCTGAAAGAAGAATGTAGCTTCCACAAAAATGTGAAGCAGCACAACTGTTTTCTACACTGGTAATAATCATAAATGTTTCTTGAGCTGCAGATATTAGAATGACCATGCGACACTGAAGACTGGAGTAATTATGCTGAAAATTCAGCTTAAATTACATTAAGAAATTGCAAAATTTTAAATTGTAATAACATTTCATAATATTATATTAATATTTTGACTGTATTTTTCGCCACATAAATGCAGCCTTGGTGAAAACATTTCATTGAAACATTTAACAAAACTGCTGATCTGTTATGCATTATTGTTTGTTGATGTCATTAATATGCATTTTTATTAACGTATTTTATTAACTGATATAATGATAATATACCAACCCACTGAAGTACTAATATCTGTTTTGTACCTTTGTAATACACTGATAACCACCAATGGTGATGAAAATGTCACACGAGGAACCAAAACTCATCACAAACAGCTTTTACACAAGCTGAGGAGGGAAATACTTTTATATAGAAGATGACAGTGTCATTCAATGAAATACTAAACACCATGTAACACACATGATACTGTAATAATGCAATAAACATTAATTTAACAACATTAGATGTGAGATAAAACCCTAATCTACATATCTGATAAGAGAAAAAAAAACTATGAAGAAACAGTTATTTCACTGTAGCTAAATTATACAATGACTTGTTCTTTTTCACTTCCAAAAAACGTGATTTTAATAGTACTTTACTGTAAAATTACATTAAATGTAATCACAGTTATGCGCCATATATAGTAGCTACAGAAACTTACTGTTAACCAATTAACAGTTTTTTACTGTAGCATTTTTACAGTCTTTTACTGTTAAAATCATATTCATAATCTATAAACAAGAGATAGAGATTTACAAGAGATTTCTATTTCAAATAAATGCTGTTCTTTTGAATTTTCAATTCATCAAGGAATCCTGAAAAAAAGAATGTAGCTTCCACAAAAATGTGAAGCAGCACAACTGTTTTCTACACTGGTAATAATCATAAATGTTTCTTGAGCTGCAGATATTAGAATGACCATGTGACACTGAAGACTGGAGTAATTATGCTGAAAATTCAGCTTAAATGACATTAAAAAAAATTAAAATTTTAAATTGTAATAACATTTCATAATATTATATTAATATTTTGACTGTATTTTTCGCCACATAAATGCAGCCTTGGTGAAAACATTTCATTGAAACATTTAACAAAACTGCTGATCTGTTATGCATTATTGTTTGTTGATGTCATTAATATGCATTTTTATTAACGTATTTTATTAACTGATATAATGATAATATACCAACCCACTGAAGTACTAATATCTGTTTTGTACCTTTGTAATACACTGATAACCACCAATGGTGATGAAAATGTCACACGAGGAACCAAAACTCATCACAAACAGCTTTTACACAAGCTGAGGAGGGAAATACTTTTATATAGAAGATGACAGTGTCATTCAATGAAATACTAAACACCATGTAACACACATGATACTGTAATAATGCAATAAACATTAATTTAACAACATTAGATGTGAGATAAAACCCTAATCTACATATCTGATAAGAGAAAAAAAAACTATGAAGAAACAGTTATTTCACTGTAGCTAAATTATACAATGACTTGTTCTTTTTCACTTCCAAAAAACGTGATTTTAATAGTACTTTACTGTAAAATTACATTAAATGTAATCACAGTTATGCGCCATATATAGTAGCTACAGAAACTTACTGTTAACCAATTAACAGTTTTTTACTGTAGCATTTTTACAGTCTTTTACTGTTAAAATCATATTCATAATCTATAAACAAGAGATAGAGATTTACAAGAGATTTCTATTTCAAATAAATGCTGTTCTTTTGAATTTTCAATTCATCAAGGAATCCTGAAAAAAAGAATGTAGCTTCCACAAAAATGTGAAGCAGCACAACTGTTTTCTACACTGGTAATAATCATAAATGTTTCTTGAGCTGCAGATATTAGAATGACCATGTGACACTGAAGACTGGAGTAATTATGCTATAAACATAATCATATATAAAGCATATTTACATATCGCAAAAACACTTCAGTTTGTTTTTAATACTGTAGTGTCGCGCTGATGATCTGTGGAGTGCGGTGATGCGAGGAGAGGCGGGCTCTAGGACCTGAGTGAAACCCGCCACAGAGCTGCTCTCACATCAGTCTGGAGAGAGAGAGAGAGAGAGAGAGAGCCGCCGACAGCACATCACACACTCGGAGCGGGTCGCCAAGCGCTCAGAGCCGCTCATGATGCGCAGGATTCGGGCCAACGCCATCCTCATCCTCACCGTGGCCTGGATCCTCGGCACCTTCTATTACCTGTGGCAGGACAGCAAACCTTCCTCCTCCTCCTCCTCCTCGGGCTCCCAGCTGAAGAACCACGGGAGGCTGGAGGAGCGCACTCTTCCTCTGATCGTGAGTGATGATGATGATGATGATGAGGGGCTGCATGCTGATCACTGCTGTAATGCATGCGTTTATCTATGTTCTGATATATGAAGCGAGTGTGTGTGTGTGTGTGTGTGTGTATCAGCGTGATGTCAGGTGCATGTAAGAGGCTTTTCCTTAATCCAGATGCAGGTGTGTGTGTGTGTGTGTGTGTGAGAGAGAGAGAGAGATCCATGTTTCCTTTGATAATTATCATTTGTTCTGGATTCACATTGGGATTTCAATTCAAATTTGGAACTAGTTCTAACAGATTCTAATGAGTATTTTTTTTTATTATAGATGCCAGCATTCCAAAAACTAGATGATTTAGATCATATAATTAAACATAAAATGTTCAAACTTCACCCTGTATAGCCTGACACATGAAATAATACTAGTCAGAAAAATCTACAGTTTTGAAATGAAACAGTTTATTGAACCTTTAGACAAAATATATATACTGTAAAAGAGTTTGCATATGTTTCTTGTTGAGTATCATATTTGACACATCAGGCTCATCTACGTAGTATGATATAGTGAGAATATGGAGGGGGAACAGTTCAGTTTTATTCAGAAGTACAAACTAAGCAAAAATATGTATTTTGGTGCACATGTTAATATATTTAGAGTAAGATGAAATTCTGATAGCCAGCCTGCAATGTAATATTTATAACAGTATAGCAGATACTGACATAAAATTATATTAATATCATAAATATGTTGATTGTGTGCAACAGGTTTTTGATCATGTTGATCATTTAGAGGCCTTAGAAATTTGATACGGTAGGCTTTATGGGCTAATTAATTCATATAAAATACTACCCAACCTGACTGATGATATACAACCGGTGTTGATATTGTTGAAAGATCTGCTTCTAATATACCGCTTGGAATGATTGTGAGTCATCTGTGCTTGTTGTGCTCCTCACAGTTTGACTCCACATTCATCAGGTAGAGTGCAAACGCTCCTCAGACGTCTGCTGGCTTGCAAAAAGAAGGTGTAATATGCAAAGTATTATGATTTCTATCCAAATGACTCTATACATGCAGAAATGCCACAGAATCAGTGCGTGCATGTGTCAAACCTCAGGAGAGGCGTCCCTGAACTGTGTCCTGAGCTCCATGGCAACAGAGCATCACTCTGTATAAAGCACCAAAAACACATCGGCGCTCTCTCTCAAAACCTATATATTCTATTTATTTATATTGGCTAATGCAGTTTAATTACAGCAACTGTGATGTACAGATATGTGGTGAAATTTAATGGAAAATATTTTCATACAAAATTTACAAAAAACATTTTCAATTATTCAATATTTGACAAAAAATGGAAAAAATAAAAAATAAAATTGGCCACAATTTTGTGATAATAATAATAATGTTGTCATTATTAGTAAATAAAAATATAAAAAATACTGAATAAACAAAGATATTACTATATTTCACTGTAAAATTAAAAATGGAGAATTTAAGAAAAATAATATAGTAGTAGTAGTGACAATGACAATAATTTTATTTTATAGTACAACATTGCAACTGCAATACAAATTTGTATGGCTCTTTTAATTTCTTAAATATCAAATATTAAACCGTTAAACTTTTGACTGAGGAAGCCCTTTTTTGATAATAAAATATTTGAAAATACGCTGAAAAAAATGATTGATTGAATTTACTAACATTTTTAAGGTAAGTGGTTGCAATCAATTTATTTTAGCTACATTTAAATAAACCAATTTAGTTGAATAACTTTCAAAAACAATTTTTATTTAAATGCAGCTAAAATAAATTGTTTGCAACCACTTACCTTAAAAAAAAAAATAGTATCATTTTTTTTTTCAGCGTAAAAATAATCAATTTTTTACTGATTATGGAGGTCCATTTCTGCCATAGGACAAATGGAACAAGGTAATTACAACTTTTTTTTATCTCACTTTTCTTCCAATACTGAGATATGGGAATTGTGAGATATAAAATCAGAATTGCAAGATATTAAATTAAATTTATGCATTTAGCAGACGCTTTTATCCAAAGCGACTTACAGTGCATTCAGGCTAAACATTTTTTTATCAGTATGTGTGTTTCCTGGGAATCGAACCCATGACCTTTTGCGCTACTAAAGCGATGCTCTACCACTGAGCCACAAGAACATTATAAAATGGATATATATATATATATATGATATAATAGGATATAGAATTATTTTATGTAGAATTAAGATATAGAAGATATAGAATATTTTTATGGCGGAAATAAGCTTCCATACTATAGTCAGTGAATAATGGGTTATTTTAAAGCCTGCAGTTTCATCCTCTGCTGCCATGCTAGAGGATATTGGTAGATTTTTTAACCGAGCTAATGCTACTGTCACTGAATGCTGATCATCTTAAAATGCTCAAACATTAGAGCCTCGCTAATGAGCATTCAGCCGTGCTGACCGCTGTGAACTGATAGTAATTCTCTACTTCAGCTCCAGTATAATCCGCTGTCCATTAGCCTGCTTTGATATCTGATCTACCCTTGTATCCGTGCCTCTGCCTGTAAAATAAGATGAAATGATTGTCCGCTCTGCCATGAGCCCTTTCACTCTATTAATGACAGAAGTGCATTTACAAGTCCTGAAAGAAAAGGATAGCCTGTGTGTTTAGAGATAAATTGGGTGCTTTATCACAGCAGTAATTCAGGCTTTTTATGGACAGCGTCTCAGGAGCATTGTTGCACAATGCATTTATTTATTTGCCCGGAGCCAATAGCAGATGCTGCCTTTACTGAGGCCTTTTGCAGCGTATCAGTCTCGCCTAATATTCTTTTATGAGGGGAACAAATACTGAAATATCAGCGCAAGCATCTCTCTCGTGTTCTGTTTGGATCTGTTTAGGAAGAGTTACAGATGCACAAAGCACCGCAGTGGATTTATTAGATGTGCCTTTTATGCAAAAGGGAGTGAGCAATATTTGCAAAGTTTTCCCAGCATCCTTTGCATGTTGCTCCCATGCACAAACTGATGATACAGTATTAGTGGCGTTCTGCTAATGGCCTGGTTTGATTTTGTTGTACTTGTCCATTTGATGCATGTAAACAGCCAACAGCTTGGACACACACAACACAAACCCGACTCGACTGAAGGCTTGATTGAGAGAGTGTGTTTGCTGTTATTATACGATAAAGCAAATTAGTGAGCATATTAAATTCTTTCTACAAAATCAAGCTTCCTGTAACAAAAACTAAAACCAGATACTTAAAAAAATTCTCAAAATAAAAAAAAATTATTTAACTGAAATAAAATAAATTATATAAAAATGTGTAATTTATTTTATTTCAGCTAAGTAACCAATGCCACATTTCTCATTTTAATTTAGTTTAACTTGATGTGTTAAAAAACTAAAACTGAAATAAAAGAAAATTATAAAAATATGAAAAGAACTAATAAAAATGATTTTTTTAAATTATTATTATTATGCTGCAGAAAGGCTATTTTGATAATAATATTAAAAATAAATATTACATATTTATAAAAAATAAATATTAAAAATAAAATAATTATTAATTAATGCTGAAGTGGAAGCAACATTACAGGCATAACAGATTAGCTTCTACCGAGACAAATGATGCAAAAGCAAGTGTAGATCTCACAAAACTCATGCAGAAAGTCCATCTATCAAATGGCGATAAATACTGACGCGTTCTTAACTGTGTAGGTGTAAGATACTAATCAGAATCAGAATCAGAAAGAGCTTTATTGCCAAGTATGTTTGCACATACAAGGAATTTGTTATAGTGTCAC